TTCTCCATTTTCCTCCTTCTCCCAACTCCTGGCAACCACCATTCTACTCTGATTCTATGAGTCTGACTATTTTAGATATCTCATATAAGTGGAATCACTCAGTATTTGTCCCAAGGTGACCAGCTTATTTCACTTAGTAAAATGTCCTCCGGATTCATCCATGTTGTCATATATTGCAGGATTTCTTTCTTTTTTAAGGCTGAATAATGTTCCATGGTATAGACCACATTTTCTTTATCCATTCATCCACTGATGCACTTTTGGGTTTTTTCCACATCTTAGCTATTGTGAATAGTGCTGTAATGAACATTGGAGTGCTAATATCTCTTCAAGATTTTGTTTTCAATTCTTGTGGATAAATATTCATAAGTGGAATTGCTGGATCATATGGTAATTCTAATTTTAATTTTTTGAGGAATCTCCATACTGTTTTTCATGAGCAGCTGCACCATTTTGCATTCCCACCAACAGTGCACAAGAATTTCAATTTCTCCACATCCTCGCCAACTCTTATTGACTTTTGTTTTATTGGAAAATAGCCATCCTAACAGGTATGAGGTGATATCTCATTGTGGTTTTGACTTGCATTTCCCTAATGTTTAGTGATGTTGAACGTTATTTCATATGCCTGTTGGCCATTTGTACGTCTTCTTTGGAGAAATGTCTATTCAAGTCTTTATGGCATTTTTAAATTGGGTTGTTAGTCTTTTTTGCTATTGGGTTGTAGCTTTTATGTTTTGGAAATTAACTCCTATCGTTTGCAAATATTTTTTCCCATTTTGTATGTTGCCTTTTCACTCTGTTGATTATTTCCTTTGCTGTGCAGAAACTTTTTAGTTTGATATAGTCTCACTTGTCTCTTTTTGCTTGTGTTGCCTGTGCTTTTGGTGTCATAGTCATGAAATAATTGCCAAGACTAATGTCATGAAAGTTTTTTTCTTGTATTCTTCTAGGAGTTTTACAGTTTCAGAAGACAACTGATTTTTGTATATCGATGTTGTTTCCTGCAATCTTGTTAAACTCACTTAATTGTTCTACTAGTTTATTTAAAATTCCATAGGATTTTCTACATAGATGATCATGTTCTTTGTGTGTCTTAGTCTATTCAAGCTGCTATAACAAAGTACCACAAACTGGGTGGCTTATGAACAACAGAAATTTGTTTCTCACAGTTCTGGAGGCTGGAAGTCTGAGATCAGAGTGCCCATGTGGTCAAGTTTTGTGCCTGGTGAGAGCCCTCTTCTTCCTTCTTGCTGTGTCCTCACATGGTGGAAGGGGCTAGGGAGCTCTGTAGGATCCTTTACATAAAAACACTAATCCCATTCATAAGAGCTCCACGTTCACATCCTAAGCACCACCCGAAGGCCCCACCTCCTAATACCATCACACTGGACATTAGGATTTCAACATATTAATTTGGGGGCACAAAATCATTCAAATCATAACAGGAGAATATAAACACTTATTTTCCCTTTTTAATCTAGATACCTTTTATTTCTTTTTCATGTCTGGTTGCACTGGCTAGAACCTTCAGTGCAGCATTGAATAGAAATTGTGAGGGGTCAGCCCCGTGGCTTAGCGGTTAAGTGCGCGCGCTCCGCTGCTGGCGGCCCGGGTTCGGATCCCGGGCGTGCACCGATGCACTGCTTCTCTGGCCATGCTGAGGCCGCGTCCCACATACAGCAACTAGAAGTATGTGCAGCTATGACATACAACTATCTACTGGGGCTTTGGGGGAAATAAATAAATAAATAAAAATTAAAAAAGAAAAAAAAGAAAGAAATTGTGAGAGCAGATATCCCTGTATTGTTCCTGATTTTAGGAGGAAAGCATTCAGCTTTCACAATTAAGTCTGGTTTTTTTTATTGTAAATGACCTTTATAAGGTTGAGGAACCTGATAACCAGGAGAGAGGTTCCCTTCTACCTTAGTTTGCTGAGAGTTTTTTTAAAATCAGGAATGGATGTTGGATCTTGTCAAATTTTTTCATGTCTATTGACATAGATCCATATTGATCATATGGATTTTCTATTCTAACTTGTTAATATGGTGGATTGCATCAATTGGATTTTTAATGCTAAAGCAACGCTGTATTCTTGGGATAAATCCTACTTGGTCATGATGTCCTTTCAATATAATTTTGGATTTAATTTGCTAAAATATTGTTTAAAATTTTTGTATCTATATTCATGATGGATTTATAATTTCAATTTGTAATTTCTTTTCTCTGTCTCTCTTTTTTTTCTTTTGGTCTGGTTTTGGTATCAGAGTAATGTCAGCCTCATAGGATGAATTGAAAAGTATTCTCTTGTCTTCAAATTTTTGGAAGCATTGTATAGAAGTAGTATTTTTTCCTTAAATGTTTGGTAGAATTTACCAGTGAAGCCACTTGGGCATGGAGTTTTCTTTGTAGGGAGAATTTTAACTACAGTATCAATTTTTTAAATAGATATGGGTCTATTTATGTTACCTATTTCTTCTCTAATGAGCTTTGGAAACGTATGTCTTTTAAGGAATTTTTCCATTTCATCTAAGTTGTTAAATTTATTTGCATAAAGTTGTTCATAACATTGCCTTATTATTCTTTTAATATCTGTAGAATCTGTAGTGATGTCACCTCTGTCATTTCTGATATTGGTAATTGTGCTTTTTTTCTTTTTATTGATCAGTCTAGCTAGAAGTGTCTCAATCTGATATATCTCAAAGAACCAGCTTTTGGTTTCATTGATTTTCTCTGTTGTTTTTCTGTTTTCTGTTTCATTGGTTTTCACTTTGGCTTTTAATATTTTTTTCTTCTGTTTACTTTGGGCTTAATTTTCTCTACTTATTATAGTTTTTAAGGTTATTCACACATTTTTTTCTAATATTTCAGTTTTTTGGGTATAGATTTCCCCCTAAGTACTGCTTTAGTGACATCCCACAAATCCTGACATGTTGTGTTTTCATCTTATTCGGGTTGAATGTTCTGTCAATGTCAATTAGATCCATGATGACACATGGCTTCTGAAGTTCCCTGGGGATCATCTCCATCCCAGTCAGCTTAGAGGGAGAAAGAACATGGAGCAAGGTGCTTGGGAGGTTTTTTTATGACATCACTTCTACTCAAATTCCATTGGTTAGAACTCAGTCATATGGCTTCACCTAATGGTATGGGAAACTGGAACATATAGTCAGTCTAGCTTGTTGCCTGGGAAGAAGAGGAAAATGTATTTGGACAAATAGCCAGCAATCTCTAACTATTCTCTAGAAGAGCTTCTATAAGATAAAAAATACTTGAATCATGGGTATACAGTAGAAATTGTAAAGTTATTAGGAACTGCTGTTTTCTTTGGGAGAAATGTTGTAACTGCTGATTCACTTTAAAGGATACATGTTCATTTAGGTTTTCTATTACTTCTTGAGTCACATTTTGTAAGTCACTTTTTAGGTATATATAATTTAGTATGTTTTAAAATATATTAGAATAAATTTGTTGAAAGTATTTTCTTATTTTAATTTCTACTTTAACTATAATTATGTTTTTTATTCATTTTTAATATTGCTTAATTATGCCTTTTTTTTTGTTTGGTTAATCTTACTAGAGATTTGTCAGTCTTATTAGTATTTGCCAAAAATCTTAATTTTTATTTCATTAATTTCTGTTCTTTATTTCCTTCCTCTACATTATTTGGGCTTATTTTGCTGATCTTTTTTCAACTTGTAATTTGGATGCTAAGCTCATAATTTTTCAGCTTTCTTTTCTAATACATGTATTTCGGGCCATACATTTCCCTTGAATTTAGCTCCAGCTTTGTTGCTGCAACTGTTTATACATAATGCTTTCATTATCGGTTAGTTCTATGTATTTTCAAATTTGCATTGATTTCTTCTTTAATACATGAGTTATTTACAGTGTGATTTTGAATTTCTCCAAGTATGGGAATTTTTCTTAGGGTATATATTAGGTTATTAATTTCAAAATCAATTGTATCATTATCAGAGAATGTGGTATATATAATAATGATTCTATAAAACTTGTTAAATCTTGCTTTATGGCTTGATATATGCATGTTAAATTTGAGATGTTTTCTCATTTATTATGTTATTAATTCCTTGCAACATTATCTCATTTATTCCTTACTTTAATTCTGTGAGATAGATATTTTTCAACTAAGAACATTAAAATCCAACCAACATGAGTAACTTCCAAGTTCACAGATCTAGTTAGTCTTTTATCCAATCAGAGCAGGTACCAACTATAAAAAATCAGTATGGTCAACTTTTTATAGGGTTGCATGTGAGCCCTGCTTATACTTCATTATAGATTTTTAAACCTTCAGAGCAAGGATTTATTCTTATTTAAGTAAGTGGCTTTTTATCCCTCACTTGGTGCTTCAAACAGTATCTCATACATATTTGGTGTTCAATAGATGTTTGTTGAATCGGAGTAAACCTGAGACTGAAATCTGGCAAAACCTTAAAAGAGTATAATAAACAGGTAATTTATGAATGAATACTCAAAAAATAAACCAGGACTTGTAGTTCTAGAAGCATTGCAAAAAATAATCTGAAATACTCCTGGCACAAATACCTAGTAATTCTGGTTAAAGATATAGATGTATATAGGTAACATATATATCTATATCTATCTATATACTTCATATATCTATATCTATACCTATCTGTCTATAGATATGTTAAAGGATATATAGATAGATCTAGCTAGATATGTTAAAGGATATATCTATATAGATATATCCTTTATATAGATATATAGGATAGCTCTATGTATAATATATAGATATGTATATAGATATACATCTATAGCTACAGCTATATAGATATATACATATAAAGGACATATCTATATCTATATATAAATATAGATAGATATGTTAAAGGATAGATGGACTGAGGAAGAGGGACCTACAAAGGCAATAAAGGTATAGACAGAGAAATGGGAGGAAAACCAAGTGAATTTAGTTTACAGATGCCAAGGCTAGAGAGAGAGAATGGTCAATAATGACCTTTCAATTTAGTGTTAATAAAGTTATTAATGAGCTCATAAATAGAAGTTATGAAGAAGCAGACATTCTCATTTTAAGAGTTTTGGCTTCAAGTGGTAAGGAAAGGATCAACTGTAAGCTGGAGGGTGCTATGGGTAGAGAGAGAGTTTTGTTTAAGATGGAAGAGTCATTACCTGGTTTAGGACGTGCTCTCTTTGGCTAGCTATCTCTTACTCATTCTGTAAGATTCAACTCATGTGTTATCTCTAGGAAACTGTTCTTGCACTGGTCAAACTGCCTCTGTTGTCTTAGCACTGTCAACAAGTCATTATCATAACACTTAGAATATTTTAATGAACATATAAGTTTAAATGTCTTGTCCCCTCCAGACTGTGAACTCCATGGTCACATGTTAACTATCTTTGAATTACTAATTCTTGGCAAGGGTTTGGCAATAGAAAGTCTCAGATAATGTTTAAATAAACTATGGACCCTTTTTTTTTTAACTTCCTCCTATCTTTCTGTAGATCTTCCTATGTCTGTATTTTGTATTTATTTCTTTCATTATAAAACCTATGATAATTTTTAATTGCATTTATTCCTTTTTGCATGTATGACCTACCTACTCACCAACATACTTGTATTATTCCTTTTTCTAATACTAGTGTCTAGCACAGTGCCTATCATTCATTCATTGAATAGTCAATCATTTCTTGAGTAACCAATCATTATCCTAAACTCTGAGAATATCACAGTGAAAAAGACTTATCTTCCAGTATAGGAAGACAGAGAATAGACAATAAACCAATAAGTAAAGAAGGTTATTTGTGATAGTAATTATTAAGGACAAAGAAACAGGGTGAAATGATAGAGTGACTGTTGAAAGCAAGGAGTCATTACTTAGGATACTTAAGGGCAGAATCAAGAAAGTAAAAATACTACCTTTGTATATAATGTTTCTTTATAATTATATTGACTAAACCTTCAAAGTGAGAGGGGATCTTAATGATCACAGAGTCAAGCCTTTTCATTTTACAGTTTGATTTAGAGAGGAAGTGTGTCTTGTTGAAGGTATTAGCAAATATGTAATTTGTTTTTCTCTTGGTAAAGTGGTTTGGAAACTTTCAGATTCTTCACACCTTATTGGAATTCCCCTGAGATGTAAATGGCCCCATTTAAACCAGGGACTGAAATGGTGTACTAATCACACCTGTTTTCTTCCCTAACAAGAGAATTTAAAAAGAGATAGTGAGGAGGACAGAGATCTTCAGGAGGAGAAAGCTAAGTGGGCTATAAGCACAGTAATAACAAGAGAGAAGGTGCTACAAGGAGACTTAGAGCATCTAAGTAAGGGAGTCAGGAATTACATATGAATCTTCAAAATTATTTTTCCTGATTTTTCTAAAATACTTACCGTAGAAAATTTGAATATACAGAAAGGTTTGGAGTGGAAATTATAACTATAAACCCTTACCCCAGGAATAACTAAATGTTGATTATTTTCCTTATACAAATATGTTTCTCCCTTTTTCTTTTTTTTACAAAATTGAGATCATATTGTTTTTATTTTTTTTTAATATTTTTTTAAAATATTTAAGAGAAAACCAGAGAAGTGAAAAGAAAAAAGAAAAGGACAAAGAATAACAAACACTCATGGAATCTCCTACTAAATAAATATTTTTGGGTCATATAAGCTTCAGATCTATAATTTTTTAAAGAAGTAAAACATTATAGATAAAGTCTAAGTTCATGTTCCGTCCATAGTCCCATTCTCTTTATTTCCTCCCCAGACACAACTAGTATCATGAATTTGGTGTATTTTAATACTTCTATTACATTAACATTTTAAAAATGGTATTATTTTGTGCTTTCTTTTAATGTGCATAAATGGAATCAGTACGTAATTGGAATAATTGAATATAAATTTATGGAAATTGCTTTTTCACTGAACATTGTTTTTCAGTTCTATTCATGCTGATACATATAGATCTACTTTATTAATGTCATAAGTGTTAAGCTTGATGAATTTTCACTGAACACACCTATGTAACCAGCACCCAGTTCAAGAAACAGAACGTTATCAGCATCCCTGGACTCCCCCTTATGTCTGTGTTTGAACTTTATGTCTGCTTTCTTTTGCCCGACATTATTTATGAAATTTATCTATTTTGTTGTGCATAGTTGTCGTCTGTTCTTTCCCATTGTTATAGAATAGTTTTTCTTAAGTCAATTCAAATTTTTTAATTTATCCATTCAAGTATTGATGGACATTTGGGCAGTTTCCAATTTGTGCCTCTCTCAAATAGTGACGCTATAAACATTCTAGAACATATGTTTGTGAACATATGTATGCACTTCAGTTTAGTATATGTCTAAGAATTGCTGGGTCGTAGGGCATGCATATGTTCAGGTTTAATAATAGTACCAAACAGTTTTCCACAGTATTGTACAAAATTATATTCCCACCAGCAGTGAATGAGAATTCAGGTTACTCTGCCTTCTTGGCAACACTTGATATTTTCTGTCTTTTTCATTTTAAGCATCTAGAGTTGTTGTTATCTCATTGTGGTTTAATTTGCATTTCCCTGATTATTAATGAAGTTTTCATATGTTTATTGGCCATTTAGATATTCTCTTTTATGATAATCTTAAATATTTAGCATTCATACTTAAATGTTTTTTCTAATAAAATCTAAAGATATTCAGTGTCTCTATTCTTCACCCAATCTAGACAAGGAAGGACGTTAGCAGTTTTTAAATTACCACTGTTCCCTCATTTACCAGTTGTATACCTTTAAGCAAGTTACTTAGCCTCGTTTTGCCTCATCTGTAAAGCGGGGAAATAATAGTTCTTAATTCATAGAGTTGTTGTGAGAATTAAATGAGTTAACATACATAAAGCACTTTGAACAGGGTCTGGCATATAGTATTTGCTATACAAATGTTAGATATTATTATTGTTGTTATTGGTGAAAGGGTAGACAACATACATCCAGGGGACAGAATAGAGAGTCCAGAAATAGACTGACATAAAAATAGCTAAGTGATTTTTGACAAGGGTGCAAAGACAACTCAATGAAAAAAGGATAGTCTTATCAACAATGGTATTGGAACCACTGGATATACATATATGCAAAAAAAAAAAAAAAAGAACTTGACCCATACCTCACACCTCATGCAAAAATCAATTCAAAATGAATCATAAATTAAAACATAAAACCTGGGTTAGGCAAAGAGTGCTTGGATAGGACCCATAGCACAATCCATAAAAGAAAAAAATTGATAAATTGGACATCACTAAAATGAAAATGTTTTGCTCTGTGAAAGACACTGTTAAGAGAATTGAAATGACAAGGCATAGACCGGGAGAAAATATTTCCAAATCACATATCTGACCAAGGACTTGTAGCTAGAAAGTATAAAGAATTCTGAAAATTCAGCAAAGATCTGAACAAATACTTCACGGAAGAAGTTATATGGATAGCAAATAAGCACGTGGAAAGGTGCTCAACATCATTATTCACTAAGGAAATGCAAAATAAAACCACAATGAGATACCACTGCACGTAAAATGGCTGAAATAATACTGACAATACCAAGCGGTGGTGGTGATACAGAGCAGCTGGAACTATGATATATAGCTGGTGGGAACGCAAGATGGTACAGCCACTTTGGAAAGCAGTTTGGCAGTTTCTTATAAATTTAAATATATACTTGCTACATGACCTTACTGAAATAAAAACTTATGTTCAAACACCTGTGTTGAAGTATATAGTAGCCTTATTTCTAACAACCCCAGATTGGAAACTGGGGTACATCTATAAAATGGAATGTTACTCAGCAATAAAAAGAAACAAACTATTGATACACACAACACAGATGAATCTCAAATGCATTATGCTAAGTGAAAAAAACCAGACTCAAAACGCCATATGCTATATGTTCCATTTATATGAAATTCTGGAAAAGGCAAAAGTATAAGGAAGGAGAATAGAGATGGAAAATAATCAGTGGTTGCCAGCAGTTAGTGCTTAACTGCTAAGAGGGAGTAAGAGGAAATTTTGGGGGGTGATGGAAATGTTCTGTAACTTGATTGTGATGGTGATAAAGCACTCTTTGTAGTTGTCAAAACTTATACAACTGCACACACACACACAAGTGAATTTTACTATACGTAAATTTAAATTTTTTTCATAGTAAAAACCTTCTTAGGTTGTATCTCTAAATATTGTTTCTCTGCTACTTCTCTATTCTCTCTTTTGGAACACTGATTAGTTTTACATTACAGCTCTTAATTTTTTCCAAGCCTCATAATTTCTTTATCATATTTTTTATTTCTTTATGTAATTGGGTGAATTTCTCAGTATTATCTTTCATTTCATTAATTCTTTATATTCAAAGAAGAGTTTACTCCATCTTAGGGGCCAGCCCGGGGGTGTAGTGGTTAAGTTTGCACGCTCCGCTTCAGTGGCCCTGGGTTCTTGGGTTCCAATCCCAGCCACGGGCCTACGCAACACTCATCAAGCCATGCTGTGGCAGGCGTCCCACATACAAAGTAGAGGAAGATGGGCACAGATGTTAGCCCAGGTCCAATCTTCCTCAGCAAAAAGAGAAGGATTGGCAACAGACATTAGCTCAGGGCCAATATTCCTCACAAAAAAAAAGAAGAAGAAAGAAGAAGGAGGAGGAGGAGGAGGAAGAAAGAAGGAGAAGAAGAAAGAAGGAGAAGGAGGAGGAGAAGGAGAAGGAGGAGGAGAAGAAGAAGAAGAAGAATTTACTCCACCTTAAAATTTTTGAGTTTTTCATTTCCGAAATTCCTCCTTGGTCCTTTTTTGAACTGGTCTTTTATTGGCAGCTCAGGACTCCTTTCTCTCAGAGATTTTGGTAACATAGAGTCATTCACTGTGACAGAGGATGGTTTGGTCTAGGTCTTGTCTCAATGATTTTCTCTGCTGCTTCTAGCTAATTCCTGCTTCCAGATCTCAGTGCCTAGCGTGCACTAGTGGTTTTAGCCTCTACTTATTTCTCCGTATTGCTTTTCTTTTGTCCATAGAGATCTTTATCTTATATTTTAGTACAACTATATCTTTTTAACTTTTTTTAAGTCATGGGTTTTATCTATATTGCTTTTATTGTTTAATACTATCTGATATTTCCTTATACCACTTATGGTATATACCATACTATACCACTTATACCACTTGACAGTGATTCTCAACTGGGGCAATTTTGCCCCCTAGAATACATTTGGTAATGCCTGGAGACATCTTTGGTACAATACACAAGACAGTCCCTCACAACAAATTATCTGATCCAAAATATCAATAGTATTGAGTGTTGAGAAACCCTGTACTAAGTAATTAAAGAATACTGTATTTTTCATATATAACATCATCATAACTTATTTAATTGACTTCCTAATGTGGGGCATTTAGAGGTGTGTTTTTTTGTATTATAAGTATCACTTTGATAAATAGCCTTATATAACTTTTTTGGTACCATTAATTAATCCCAAATGTAGACATTTCTGAACCCAAAGAAAACTAAGATTTAAGAGGCACCATCTTGAAAGCTGGAAATTACCTAGGAAGCAGCATAAGTATGGAGACAACTAAGTGTTTATCATGTCATATCCTCAGCAGAACTTATATTGTGTTCACACATTTAGATCTTCTATTGGTTTTATACTTTTAAACTCTTTTTTTCTAAATAATATACTCCAAAGTTGTCTTAAGGCCCTTCAGGTTCTATACAGCCTTCTGCGAAAGCTTTCTACAGTTTGCTTTATGCTTGGGTAGCAGAGTTCAGAATCTTAATGAATACTTGACCAACCTGACTCTAATTACCTCGTGCTTTCTTTATTTTTAATTTTCTTTAGTACGTACCGGTATTAATACAATTGGTAGCAGTGATAAGAAAATAGAAAAGAATAGAGGACTAGTTTTAATTTGCTACCTAACCCTAGTTCAGTTACTTCTCTTATCTGGGCCTCAATTTTATCATCTGTAAAAAGGAGTTACACCACATAATTCCTGTAGGCTTTTCCAATTATAAACCTATGATATGCTATTATTTTATATTGCTTTTATTTCGCTTTTGGCTATGATTTTTTACTGTTACTGCAATAAGGTAGAGATAAAATGTTTAAACATTTATAAGATCTTAAAAATCTCCTCCTATTTGTTCCTTATTACACTCATCTACCTCTTTGCAGTGATTGATAATACAAATCTCAAAATGAAAAGTGTTTTATGTGGGAACAATACTGGAAAAATGACATAAAAATTCACAGCTAGATTGCGAAGGGAGAAAACTAGATAAGAAAAAAGGAAGTGACACGTGTACAAAACAAATAAATCCTAGGTCTCAAATCCTGGCAGGGTCAGAGAAATGCACCCTGGGCCCTAATCAGCCAGAAGCTCTGTGTAATTCTCAAATTCAGGGTCTTGAAATTTATTAGAATTGCACAGGACCAGAATTCAGGCCTCCCAACCTCCTAGTTAATGTCTTAACACTACACAATGTAATATCATTTGAAATATTATATCATTTAATCTTACCTAGAGAATGAAGATACATGCATGAAATAATCTTTTACAATTTATTTGTATAGGTGTTTTTAGCCACTTAACCTATTTTCTGGCTGCTGGTGCTGTTACTTTGGGAATTGGTTTCTTTGCTTTGGCATCAGCTTTGTGGTTCCTGATTTGCAAACGAAGGTAAGGTTTATTAGAACATTTTACTTTTTTTTACTTCTAAAAATTCAATGAAAGACTTTTTCGAATGATATTAAACTTAAATAACTATAATAGTGTTGACTCTATAATTTGAAGTATGGTAGTAGACCCTTTGATTGGGGAGGGAAAGCTTTACATGTTGAAAATAGCCTGAAAAGAGAAGACCTAGTAGTATATAGTCTGGGTAGCATAATAGCAATTTTCATGCATTAAAATTTTAAGGAGTAATGAGATCGATTTTATTCTCTACAAGACATGGATTCGAATTATAATATAAGGCTAGAAATTTTCTAAATTTTTGACTACTAATTTAGAGTTTAAAAACATTGCTGAGAGGGAAAGACTCCTTCTTTAGGAGATATTTATTTGCTGACAGAATGCTCTGGTATGGTGTAAATGTAGTCTTTTGCCAGAGACAGAAAAAAAAAAAGATACTTGATGCCTCAGTTCCTTTCAACCCTAAAATTTGGTATTTTTAATTATTTAATCAGTTCAGTATTTGCTTTCTCTGATGTTAAAAAAAAGTGTAAACTGTAACAAGATCCCATACACCGCTCCAGTGTTCCCTGTCTTAGCAAATGAATACATACTATCTACCCACTTGTACAAATCAGAAACTAGAAATTACTCACTTATTCATTCAACAAATATTTATTGAGTGCCTGCCATTGTTCTAGGTACTGAGGATACAGCTATGAACAGGTCAGACAAATTTCCTGTTTCATAGACTTGCATTGCCACTGGGAGGAGACAAACAATGAACAAATAAAGTAGTCAGGGAATGTCTCTTCAAGAGGGCAGTATTTAATCTGAGACCTGAGTTAAAACAAGAAACCAGACACGTGAAGATCTTGTGGAAGAGCTTTCTAAGCTGAAGGGATAACGAGTACAAAAACCCCAAATGGGAATGATCTTGGTAGTCAGTAAACAGAAGGAAGGCCAGTGTGAATACACTGTGGTGAGAGAGGGAAATAACGATGAGATTGAAGAGGTAGATAGGGGCCAGATCACATAGGAATTTGTAGGCTAGAGTATGGAGTTTGGATTTTATTATTTGTGTCATCAGAAGGTGTTAAGCAGGGGAATGACTTTATCATCATCATAATAGCTAACACTGAGTGCTTACTATGTACTAGGCATTGTTCTAAGTGCTTTACATGTTATCTCATTTAGACTTCCTAATAGCCCATGAAGTAGCAGTAATATTGTCCCCATTTTGAAGATTCTATAATGTCACCTGTAGGTGATTTACATTTTTATAACACTTTTTAAAATTTGAGATATAATTTACATACAATAAAGTACATAGATTTTAAATGTATGATGATGAACTTCAACAAATATATTCCCACGTAATCACAACCCCAGTCAAGATATAGAACTTTTCCATCACCCTGTAAAGTTCCCTCATGCTCCTTTCCAGGCATCACTCCCTACCTCCCACCCAGAGGCAATCATTATTCTAATTTTTAACACCATAAATTAATTTTGGACTTCATATAAATGGAATCATATGGACTTTTTATGTATGCTTTTTTCACTTAATATTTTTGAGATTCATTTCTGTTGTTGCATTTATCTGTAGTTCTTTGTTTTTATTGATGAGTAGTATTCCATTGTATGAATATACCTCAGTTTATCCCTTCTTCTATTAATGGACATTTGGGTCATTTCCAGTTTTTAGCTCCGAAGAATAAGGCTGCTATGAACATTCTTGTGTAAATCTTTTTGTACATGTGCTTTCATTTCTCTTGGGTAAATATCTAAGAGTGGAATAGCTGGATCATGCGATTAATTTTGTAAGAAACTGCTGACCAGTTTTCCAAAGTGGGTGCACACTCCCATCATCAATGTATGCGAGTTATGATTCATATTTTTAAAAGACTTTTCTTGCTTCTCTGTGGAGTCTGAATTTTAACGGAGCAAGAGTGAAAGCAGAGAGACAATTTAGGAGGCTATTGCATAGTCCAGGTCAGAGATGATAGCGTCTTGGACTAATTTGGAAGTAGAGGAGACGAAAAGAAGGGGCTGGATTTGATAGGCTTTGCAGGTAAATTTAGCAGGGATTCTTGATGGATTGGATGAGGTAAGGAAAGATAAATGAAATGGCAGAATTAATGCTAACACCTACATTAATGCTAACACCTCACGTTAAAACATGGGCAACTGAGTAGTTGATCATGCCATTTACTGAGAGGAGGAGATGATTAGGGTGGGGAGCAAGCTGAGAGAGTGATGATAAATGAGGAGTTGTATTTTGGATGTAAGTTTGAAAGTCTATTAGACGTCCGAGTGGAAATGTCAAATAGACACTTGGACATACATGGATGGACTTCAGGAGAGAAGTCAGGGCTGAAGATTTAGGTTATCAATGTATAGAGAGTATCTAAAGTCATTGAACTGGATGAGACTAAGCAGGGAGTGGTTGTTGAAAGAGAAGAGAAGAAGCTAGGACTGTGCCCTTCAGCACAGAGATCTAGCAGGAGTAGAAGAATCAACAACATCTGAGAAGGAAAAGCATAAGGGTGTAGTATCAAGGAAGTCAAGATTAGAAAATGTTTCAAGAAGCAGGTTATGACCAGTCATGTCGAAGATGCTTAAGAAGTCTAGAAAGATAAGAGTAGAGAAGTAATTTTTAGATTTGGCAACATGGAAGTTGTTAGTGACCTTGAACAGTTTTAGTGGAGTGATGGGTTCAGAAGCTTACCTTTGAGTAAAACATAAGACATGAGAAAATTGAGACAAGTATAGATATCTCTTTCAAGAAGCCTGCTTTTGTGAAGGCGAGTTGATAAATGGGGCAGTAGCAGGGGAAAATGTGAGGTCAAGGAAGGGTTTGGGTTTTTTTTCTCTCTGTCTCCATAGAGATGCTTGATAGCTCCCTCTCTCTTTCCTACCCCCACTAAATATGAACCATCACCAAGTTCTATTTATTTTACCTCATCAATTGCTCAAATCTATCCATTTCTCTCCATTACCACTGCCACCACCTTATCCTCCACATAGACTCCTGCAGTAGAAGTTATAACTGACCCTCTACATTCACTACGGTCCTCATTTAACCTCTTCTCCACACCTCAGCCAGACATTTCCAAATGCAGATCTGATCGAGTCACCCCACCCCTCCACCCCATCCCCACTGTATTATAAAGGACTTCCCATTGCTTTTCGGATAAAGACAAAATTACATGACTTCTAAGGCCCTGTGTGGTCTGCCCACGCATGCTCCCCAATTTCATCTCCCACTTTCTCTCTTGCTTTCTGTGCTTCTGCTACACTGTCCTAATCTGGCCATAGGTCTTGATACTTGATATTCTCTTTGACTAGGACATTCTAACTCCTTCATCTCCCATCCTCCACTGCACTCTACCTAATAACTACTACTGTTTCTTCGGATGTCCAATTCAATCATTCTTCCTCAGAAAAGCCTTCCCTGACATCCTTAGCCAGGTTAATTCCCTTTGTTATATAGTCACGCAGTACCAGGTAGCTTTCCGTGATAACGTTTTCCTCAGTCGTAATTTTTCGTCGTCTTGTGATTATTTTATTAACGTCTGTCTTCCTTACTAGTGTTTAAGCTCCATGAGAGCAATGACGGTTCCATAGGGGTAGTGGCTGTGCTTTTTGTCCCCCTGCCACTATATGTACAACATACTTGTTAAGTGAATTGAATTCCATGAACGAATGAGTCCTAATAGTTAATACCTCGTTAAGTAACATAACACGATCTCTAGAATTAATCTGGAAATTTTCTAGTACCTCTGAAAGAAGAAATGGCAATCAGCGTTACCTTTTAAATTGTTAAGTTTAGAATGACTGTTAGACGCTACAATCCCTTATACTTACCTGTCTTTGATCAGCTGGGGTTTTACTTGCTGCTTCATTATTTTTAACCCTCTCTCAAAATTGTTTGCGGTTGCATGGATAAAGATCACAGGTACTCTTCCCTTGTAAGTCATTAGTTTGGTTCAACTTCCTTCCATTTACTTTTGCCAGAGATATTATTAAATATAAAATTGACCAGTGAGTTTCATTTCATTTAATTTCCTTTGCTATTAAAGGCAGATTTATGAAAAGACTAACATTAAAGTTGATTGATTATCTCACAGCCAGAAAGAAGGATATCAAAAACTTCTTGTTAATCTTTAAACTAGAAATATTAACCATGCATAAGAAGTAGCTTAATTTACATTTTGTGAATAAAATAGGTGTAATGAAATCAATAACAGATAAGAATGGAATATATGATTTATGCTTTTAAAAATAAATATGTAGCAATATATTTATGCTGATTTTTAAATCTTTATGTATAACTATTGGGAACAGAATAATTTTAATTAGTTTATAATATAATTCATGTTTAGTAATAGTCTCTGTAAAATATGTTTCAGAGAAATATTTCAAAATTCCAAATTTAAAGCAACTGATGAGAGATGCAGGCAAAGACCATCAAAGGCGAAGAGTAAATCTCATGCTCAGTGTGTTTTTATTTCTCGAAATTTTCATACTGGAAGATTCCAATTACAGGTAGAGTGTAATAATTTATAGCAATCTTTTCAAATAACTCCTTTTGACACCACATCATTAGCACTGTTGTCTTTAAATTTGAAAGACGGAATATCCACTATTATTTTTAAATTCGAGAGAAAATAACATGGAGCTAAATTTAAATTACCCAAAGAGTTTATACTATAGGAAACTGAAAAACTAAATGGAAATGTCTCCTTCTACAGTTGCTTCTCTGTATCTCTAGCCTGAAAACCTACATTCCCCATATTGAAATTGTTATATGAAGATAAATGCCATAAGAAAAACAAAGCAAAATTGCCAGGCATCTCAGAGGAAAGAGATTTGGAGCTATGAGGATACTCAGATAACCAAATAACCTAACCAAACCAACTAATTGAAATTAAATACAATTTAACAAAGATTTATTAAGGCTTCATTATATTCGAAGCTCTGGGTCCCCCCTATTGAGGATAGTAAGATACAAACCCTACCTTTGAGGTACTAGTATAGCACAAGTGGGAAAGGCAGACACATAATTAACTTTCTGTAGTGTGCTGTCAGAGCAATGTTATATGGACAAATAAAATGAGGGAGACACCAATGGAAATTTAAAACTATGATATAGCTAAACAAAACACATACTCTAATGGTCTTACGGCATTACTAGATAAATAGCAACAAATTGATGGGATGTCAAAGTTTCATTATACCTCTTGAATATTGAACTTAAGTTGAACTCAGTGTTCATTTGTTTAACAAACATTTTTTGAGTGCCTTAAATATGGCAACACTAGTTTTGGCACTGAGGCTACACAAACAAATAAGTTATGAGTCCAGACCTAGATGAGCCCAAAGTTAGGAGAGAAGAAAAACATAAACTAAAAATTACAACATAATGTGATAAGAGCCGCAAAATTAAAGAAATGCAGACAAAGGAGCGTGAATTGAGGAAGGCTTCACAGAGAAGACATTTTTAGCTGGGTTTTAAGAAGTGAAAAGAAGTTTGCCAGGAGGAAAGGACATTCTGTGTTCAAAGGCTGATCTTCCTCACAAAAAAAAAAAAAAGAAGAAAGAATTATAATGTTTAAAGCCTAGGGCTCACAGAGGGGAGTGGTGGGAAAAGATCCTGGAGATGAGATCATGAGAAGCCTCATTTGCAGCCTAAGGATTTTGGATTTTACCCCATAGGCTATACAGATCCACTGGAGGCATTACGGGTTTATGGTCAAGGGCATAGACTGACGAGCCAGATGGTACATGTTAGAATCCTGGCTCTACCGCTACTAGCTGTGTAATTTTAGGCAAATTCCTTAACTTCTGTGTGTCTGTTTACTCATCTGCAAAATGAGGATGATTTCATCTCCATCGAATTGTTATGGAGAGTAAATGAATTAGTATGTAAAAAGCACTCAGAATAGTGCCTGGCCACATAGTAAGCACCATACGAGTATGCTGTTATGATCACTGGAGGGTTTTAAGCAGGCGGGTTTAATGATCAAGTTAATTCTAAAGATTATTAGCTCTGACTTTCAAGGAAGTTTGAAATAGAGATTGCATTGCAGAGAAAAAAATTGTTTCTGCGTTTGCATTTAATATTAATTGAATTTACTGTGTTCCCATCACATGCTAGGCATTTTGCTAGGAACTATTGATATAATGATGTCTTCATATCTAATGGTGGATACAGACAAATAGACAATTACAAAAATGTCATGAGTGCTATGGTGGAAGAAGTACATATATAGAAGTACTAAATTTTAGGTAAGGTTGTTTAGTCAGGTTATTCACTTGACAAATACGTAACAAGTGCTTATGTGCCAGGCACTGTTCTAGGCAAGTGGAAATTTGGTAATGATCAAGCAAGACAAGAGTCCCTGCTCTCATGAGATTTATAGTCTAGCGGGAGAGATAAATAATGTACAAGTAAACACAAAATATCATTCAGGACTCTTGATAGTCAGAGATAGGAACCTAATTCAAAAGAAAAGATAGTATAAAACGTAGTAGGAAAACATAGTATAAAAAGAATAAGGTAGTGCTGCCTTCAGCCACGATCAGATTCAGTACAAAAGAATTCTTTTTCATACTGTCCCTCTTTTTCTCGTCTCCGTTTCTGCCTGTGTATTGGCCTCTTTCTCTCCTACTACAGACAGGCAGGCAAGAGGATGAAAATTATAACGAAATTATGGTTTAATATAACATAGAACTAGATCTTGGTTTCTATAAAAGCTTTTATTGTGAAATACAGCATACGTACCTGATAACACACACACATAGTTTAAAGAATAATAAATGGAATCTTTTATACCCACCACCCAGAATAAGAAATAGAATATTACTAGTACCTTTGAGGCGTCCTGAGTCTTCATCTGTCTCTTACACTCTGTGCCCCCATCCTTCACTGAAGGACCCACTATCCTGTAATTGCACATTTCCTTCCTTTTATTTATGGTTTTACCACAAATGCTATAGATCCTTGAACAATGTATTATTAAATTAAATATGTTTTTGGACTCCATGTCTAATATCTTCTTCCCTTTTTGTACAATATTACATTTCCGAGACTCGTCTAGATTGGTGCATTATTTTTATTCTTATATGGTATTCTATTGTATGAATATATTAAATTTTATGTTATGCACATTTAGGTTGTTTTCAGTAGTTTTTTAAAGAAAATTTCTATAGGGAATATACCTAACAGTGGAATTGCTAACTCATGGGTTATGTGCATTTAATATTATTACATAATTTTGAATTGTTTTCCAAAGTAGCCGTATCAATATGCATTCCCCCAAGGCATGCATAAGTGCTAAGATTGCTCCATATCTTCAACAAATAGTGATATTTTTAGGCTCCTAAATTTTCGATGGATGTGTAATAGTATCTCACTGTAGTTTTTTCTTAATAAACAATTTTTTCAAGCAATTTTATATTCACAGCAAAACTGAGCAGAAAATACAAGTTCCCATATACGCCTTGCCCCCACACATGTGCAGCCTCTCCCACTATCAACATCCTACACCAGAGTGGTATATTTAACAATTGATGAACCTACATTGACACATCATCACCCAAAGTTCGTAGTTTACACTAGGATTCACTCTTGGTGTTACACATTCTTTGGGTTTTCACAAATATATATATACACACACACACATATATGTATGAGGGGAGAGAGAGAGAGATTGGAGAGATGTATCCACCATTATAGTCTCATACAGAATAGTTTCACTACTCTAAAAATCTTCTTGTTCTCTGCCTGTTCATCCCTCCCTCCCCCCAACCCCTGGCAACCACTGATTGTTTTACTGTTTCCGTAGTTTTGCCTTTTCCAGAATGTCATATAGTTGGAATCATACAGTATGTAGCATTTCACTACATACTGGCTTCTTTCACTTAGTAATACGCATTTGAAGTTCTCCCTGTCTTTTCAAGGCTTGATAGCTCATTTCTTTTTAGCGCTGAATGATATTCCATTGTATAGATATACCTCAATTTATTTATCCATCCACTTACTGAAGGGCATCTTGTTTGCTTCCAAGTTTTAGCAATTGTGAATAAAGCTACTATAAACATCCTTGTGCAGGTTTTTGTGTGGATATATGTTTTCAACTCATTTGGGTAAACATTGAAGAGAGTGATTGCTGGATTGAATGGTAAGAGGTGTTTAGGTTTGTAAGAAACTGCCAAACTGTCTGCCATAAGTGGCTGTGCCATTTTGCATTGCCACCAGCAGTGAAGGAGTGTTCCTGTTGCTCCACATCTTCACCAGCATTTGGTGTTGTCAGCGTTTTGGATTTTCACCAATAAAATAGTGTATAGTGGTACTTTGTTGTTTTAATTTGCGTTTCCCTAATGACGTATGATGTTGAACTTCTTTTCATATGTTTATTTGCCATCTGTCTTATCTTCTTTAGTGAGGTGTCTGTTCAGATCTTTTGCTCATTTTTTAATTGGGTTGTTCATTTTCTTCTGGTTGAATTTTAAGAGTTCTTTGTATATATTCAATAACAGTCTTTTATCAGATATGCCTCTTGCAAACATTTTTACTCATTCTTGTCTTCTCATTCTCTTGATATCTCACCACAATTTCAATTTGTATTTTCCTGGTCAAAAATGAGGTCATTGTCTTTTCTAAAGTTCATTGGCCATTATGGTGTTCTGTTATGTAAAATACTCGTTCAAATCTTTTACCTCTTTTTCTATTAGTTTGTTTTGTCTTTTTATTATAAAACTTCAAAAGAGTTATTTATTCTGAATAACTAATCCTTTGTCAGTTATATTAATTTCGATATCTTCATCCATTTTGTTGCTTATCTTTTCACTATTTTTATGGTGTGTTTTGATGAACAAAAAATTCTTTAATTCTTAATGTAACATAATTTCCCGGCCCTTTCCTTTATGATTTAATTCCTTCCTTACTCCGAAGTCATAAAGATACTCTTCTATGTTGTCTTCTAAGAGTTTTGTAGTTTTGACTGCATAGGTCTTTACTCAATCTAGAAGTGATTTCTGTGTTTGACGTAAATAGCAATCCAGTTTCACTTTTTTCTTTATGTTTGCCCAACTGTCTAGTAGCATTTACTGAAACTTTTTTGGAATTTTGAGGGGAACTGCAGTGCAGTTTTAGATCTATTTGGGGAAAACTGATTCTTTACAATATTAAGTCTTCTAATCCATGAACGTGATGTTTCTCTGTACTTCTATATGTTATCTTTAATCTTTCAATAAAGCTCTATAATTACTTGCATGAAAGTTTTGCACATCTTATACTAGCTTTTATTACAGGAAATTTTATGTTTATGCTTTTGTGATATGATTATTAAATAAACTCTTTATTTTGGAATAATTTTAGATTTATAGGAAAGTTGCAAAGATAATATAGAGTTCTCTTATACTTTTTACTAGATTTCCCCAAATGTTAAAATCTTAAGTTACTTAAGGTACATTTGTCAAAACTAAGAAACCAACACTGGTACATTACTATTAACTAAACTCCAGACTTTATTTGGGTTTCA